CGCCGTCCACAACAACCCTCTGATGGCGCCCGGTGAGGAAGGATTCAATCCAGGAGTGGATGTTATTCCGAATGCCAACGTGAAGTTTACGGTGGGGAACGGTGTCAAACGCCTTGCTAAAATCCATTATAATGAGGTCGGCTTGGCCACGGTTGTCTAGAATACTGCGAAGATCATTTACAAGGGCAGAGAGCTGGGTTTCACAGGATCTTCCTTTCCAGAAGCCATGCTGTTGATCGGCTAAGATCCCAAACTTCTCAAAATGACTCATGATGTGGCTATGAATGATGTGTTCAAGCAGCTTGCAAATGATTGACGTCAATGAACCCGGACGGTAATTTGCAGGGTTGGCACGGTCACTTTTTTGTAGATAGGTGTAATATTGGCCTTCAGCGAATCTCTAGGAAGAGCACCATTTGAAACAGACTTCTGAAATAATTTCTGTAGTATGGAAGCAATACTGGTTGAGCAAGCCTTCAAAACACGCGCTGTGATTTCATCTGGGCCAGCAGCCTTGCTAGGATTGAGCTCAGCAAGAAGTTTCTCTATACCATCAGTAGCAATACATATATCGGAGATGTCAGGAGTACTGCTATGTCCTAGGTGAGGGAAGTCTGTCAGCCTCTCTTTGGTAAAGACGGAGCAAAATTGGTGGTTAAGAGCCTCCACCTTTTCCTTAGCACTGGAAAGAACCTTGCCTCCAACTAGTAAAGGTGACACACCAGAAACTTCTTTCCTTCTAGACTTAATAAACTTCCAAAAAGGTTTGGAATTATCTGTTTTCAAGCTGGCACCAATAACATCTCTAATGTAAGACCTATAAGCTCTTCTAATCTTTCTATCGATGTCTCGACGAAGCTTCTTGAATTTAGACCAGTAGTCGGCAGAACCAACTCTTTTGGCCCTGTTATAGAGGCGTTTCTTCCTGTTCACTTCTCACTTGATGGAGCTATTTATCCATGGATGTGAGATATGACTGGAAGTCAATCTGGCAGGGATGTTTTTCTCAATAGACGCTGAGAGTG